TTGGGAAAAACTGCAAGAATTCCTAATGCAAAGCTAACTGAGACACAAAGACTTGATTTAACTGCTGCCAAATATTGAATCCACAGGTATGAATACTTATTTAATCAACATATTTCAATATTCATCTAAGTTATGGTATCAGTAAAAAATCATTTTACCCTTAATCATCTACAGTCTGTGTATTCGGATTTTGCATAAAACATTACATTTTAAAAATGTGTAAGCATCATTTTATTATTTCATGGAATTGGAAGCTGTGGGAAGGGTATGAATACTTTCGCAAAGCACTGTATATGTGGGTTATTTCCGAGAGTTTGTGTTTATATAAAGTAATTAAATATTAGCAAGTAACACTAAAGTTAAACAAAAGCAAACAGCTCAAGGAAAAGCGAAACTTAAAATATCTATGAAGGTGTTTGAGTGGGAACCTGTGTCAATGTTAATTCCACACTGTAAAGCAAAAAGAAGAAACTGCTGGTCACATGAAGAAGATCCAACAGACATAGCGTCATGTTTCTTATTTTTAATTTCCAGTGTGGAAATGCTTTCTGGCCTATGACACCGAAGGTTATGTTTAGTGTATCGCCAGATAAACAGACTATGGCTAGGGTGGAGTGGGTCTTTGATGATAGCGTGAGCTTGCTCCTGCAGTAGGCTGTATCGAGATTATCCAATGAAGGAAGTGTCAGTAGCTTCAAAACAAACTCATTGACACAGTTCAAAACCTTTATTAAATCACACCCAGTATACTGGCTCTACTGAGTGTTACTTGCTGTTCAAGGCATTTAAAAAGGACCTTATCCCTTCTCCTTGTCTGCCGATAACCAGCTCCTGGTTTCATACCCTCATTTCACTAATACCTGCAGTGATCAGTGGACTGGTCAGGGGGAAGAGGTGAACAGGTCATGTCAGTTCCCAGAGCTCCAAAGACATACTGGTGGGATAATTGGCTTATAGGAAAACTGGCCCTGGTGTGAGTGTTTATGAGTGTCTTTGTGTGCCCAGGGATGGATTGGCATCCCGTCCAGGGTGTATTCTGCCTTATGCCTGTTTCTTGCCAGTAGGGGTGGTCCCAGGCATAAGTGAACTAAATGACTGCCTAGAGCTACAAAGCTGCAAGGGGGCCCCCTCAATGTGCAACACAACATATTATTAATCTGCAAATTCAAATGTGAGCAAGAAATTCCTTATAGTGGCTCTTTCTGTAGCTGCTGTGGATCATCCTAATGGATGCCTGATCAAAAAATGACCAATCATAGTTGAGTAGATACTATCTTTCTGAAAAGCAGAAAAGAAGACCACAAGAAGAAATCTGAAAACTGAGGTATGCTGAAGTCATTGTAATTATGTATTATATGCATGATAATGTTATTTGTATTTCATTTGGTTTTGAGTCTGTCAGATCCATGTATCTAGTGAATGGTAGATAAGCCACATTTTCAAGATAGACACACAGACTACTTGAGGTGTTTTACTAGAAGTTAACAGATTCACATTTCCTGTAGTTGTACATGTGCCTTATGGGTCACATGGCTAAAAATTGGCACTGCCCGGCCAAACAAAAGCGTGAAACTGAATATACAGTACAGAAGACTGTTCAGCAATTATATATAATCAAATATAAAACAAATTGTTTTCCTAGTGGTTTCTCCAGTGCTTCATTAAATGGGGGTATTGTAAATTCAACCTGTAGCCTTTCAGGATGCAGTCACTCTCCCAGAAACAGCAGCAGAAGCAGAGAGGAGCTGTTCAGAGCTCAAGTTATAACATGCCTGAGGTCAGCCACGGTATAAGACTGGCTTATTAGACTGGTCATGAGTATCAATCACGCTGTGGGTCAACTACTATAATTACAAAATGCAATTGATGATTTTGCCTCCAGAAAATCAAGACAAATGTATTTACAGAATGTATTTTTTATAAAACCCTCCTTTCTGCCCAGCCTTCCTGTTTCTCTCTCTTGTTATTGAGTGCCCATATTTCTTACTTAATTACATACAGTATTTATTTCTGCAATTCCTATTTTCCTATTTTGAAATAATAGAGCTCCGGTTTATCGTTATCGTTATTAATTACTTAATAACATACTATTTATTACTATAATGTTAAAATACGTATTTGGTTTGTGAAATTTGTGCTGTTGTTTGTAACTTATTTATTATATTTTCTTTAAAACTGGTTAATAAACGTTTACTAGTTAAATAATTAATTTATTCTTTATGATTTTGTTTTTCATTTTGACTTTCAACTATGGACTCCAAACAGATGTCAGAGCAAGTTAGCTTGACAGGATACTCACAGATTTTGTATGTGTCTAATCATTCAGCAATAAACACCAAACCAACAAGGGACCCCTAAAGCTAAAAGCTTTTGCAGCTGAAAAGAATTTTCAGCACTATTTTAGACTTTACTGTTCCAGTACAACTGGGGTGCACTGTATATCTTACCTATGAAATTACCTATCAAGTCTGTATAGATGGCTGTACCAGAGGAAGTATTCCTGGTCAGGAAAACTGAAGCTTTCATGTTTTTATTTTCTTCTGGTCTTTGCAAATTTCCAGATTAACATTTGCAGTTGACCACCTTTGCCTTTTGCAGGGTGCCAGTAGGTACACCGATAAGAGCACTGACATGGTCCTTTTCTTAAACATGGTGCCAAGGTGTTTAAATTAATGCTTGGAACATCATTAGAATTCTGCATTTTTTCATACATAAAATAAATATGTAAATGGTGAACTTCATATGACAAAAGTCATTTCAGTAGGAATTTTAGACAGGCAGATCTCATCTTCACCAAACTAAAATGCAAAGCCACTTAGTCTTAGTCATTACTATTATGGATTATTTTTGTGAGCATTTCGTCTTTGTTATGAAATGAAATTGAAAAACAGGTAATTGATGAACATTTTCATCATAATTGTTGTTGACTAAATTAACACTGTGTCTGATTCCCAGGTTCATTCGGTTCAGTATCCGGGTGAAGGCTTTGAGATGAGATTTCAGAAATCCCCAGAGCCTCTTCTTAGGCCTGCATTTTTCCATGTGTTCCCTGGTTGGTGCTTCACTGTTCAAACTGAAGAAATCTTCTGGGTTGACTGTTAGTCTTTTGAATACACTCAATTACCAGGTTACATTATGATTCTGTTTTTAAGTAGGTTAAATTTTACACATGCAGGCATATAGAATGTGCAGGATGTCAGGTGGTACAGTATACTGCAGTAAGTGCTACAATGTTTTTATACTGTTGAATTATCTGACGCAGAACAGCACTACTCTGTAAAACTGCCAGGTGGTGCAGTGAATCCTTAAAATGCTATACCACAGGTGCTTGTGGTTGTAGAACAAATCAGTACAGTATTAAATATTTACTAACCCATTTGTGCTTTCCTGCACTAATCATACTGACACCACAACATCACTTTAAGTCAGAACAGGGATCGACATGTATGTATGCTGTACTAGTGACAATTTCATTATGTAGTGATTACACATAAGATATTGTAAGTCACAGTACTGTATAAAACAACAGAATTATTTTTTAATTACCTACAGTGTTCAGAATTATTAGTGTATAAATAGTATTTAGAAAATAATTTTATTTTTTTTTAATTATTAAAAATATGTTCCTGTCCTGTTCATGTTTAGACATTTCTAGGAATCCTACATGGTGTTAAAAATAAGGTTTTCTAGAGGGAAAAAAACATGTCGCTGATTTTCCTGGAAAATGGCATTTCAAGATAAAATTTAAGAATATGAAAGAAACTGGTGGATTTTAACAGTTTGTGCATACATTCCATCCAACTCTTACTGAACATCCATCTGAGTGAATAGTATTATTTAACGTTCAGTGTCATAACATTTCACTACTAACCTAATCAACTCCAATGATACCACTTATGCCACCTATAAAATTATTTCCTTAGAAAAAGTAAAAACATTCATGGAAGACATTGTCATTTTCAATGTTCCATTTTGCAATAAAGCTGAAACAGCTAAATCAGCCCTTGCAGACAACACTGAAAAGAAAACAAGCTGTTTATTGGAAATGAAGCATAAAGTGAAAGAGAATCAGTTAGACAGGATGTACAGATGCAGCCATTTAGAATACACAAGATGTCAGATGGTATACGGCAGTAGAGAATATATTTTGTTAATTTTTTAATATTTTTTTCAAACTTTCTTATTCAGAACTGCACTGTGTTAAACAGCCAGGTGGTGAAGTGAATTCTGGCAGTGACTGTGCTTGTGATTGTCAGACAAGTCAGTACAGTATTAGATGATTATTAACCTATTAGTGTTTTTCTGCACTAGTCATATTGTGTGCATACTGCACGAGTGACAATTTCATCAAATACCGCACAGTGGCTACATTGTTGAGACAGGGTGTTGCTAACACATTGCTACCAAAATTCGAAATGAGATGCACTACTGTTAGTTACAATACTGTATAATATTATTATAATGACAATCTCTTGTTTTTTATAATTGTTTTTAACTGCATACAATACACAGAATTGTTATTCTGTACACGTATCAGGAATCCTTGATGCAATCTGTGCACTCACTGTTCACTGGTTAATATCAGCTAAATGGTACAGAATGTTAGTTATGTAAAAATCCACATACAGTAGGTATAATCAGCATTTCCCCAACATACTGTACCCCAATATGTGCATAAAACCTTTTGTGGGTGAGCCTTGTCCAGTCTGTCTATTAATTATACAGACATTGAAGTGCAGAAGCTTAAGGAATGCTGAATGACTGCAAGAAAGTGAAAATTGCTAGTGTTCTTATGCATAAATTGTAAATAAATATTAAATGAAACAAAAAGTTCAGTACTGGAAGTGGCCAAAAAATAAAGCTTCTCCAAAACAAGTGACTGTGGTGACAGTGAGACACAATGGACAGTGTCCCTAATGGTTAAATATCTTGCAAGTAAAGCTGACAAACAATATTGAAAGTGAAACTTAAACAAAGTTTTGTTTTTAGCAGTCATTTCCTGATTGGTGCTGTTTCCTATACATATATGTTCACTAACTGCAATGATCAAATCACATGGACTTTTCTTGCATGCAGATCAGACCATGGCTTTTCTTTGAAACTGGTAAGAAGAAAGAAGGATTTTATACCTAGTAGTGGTGGTAGTAGTACCAGTAGTAGTAGTAGTGTAGCAACAGGGCTAAGCAAACATTGACTATAAACCAGAAAGCAAAATCCTAATAAGCATCATATAATATACCAGAATTAATGAGTATGTAAATATTTAAATACTGCTGAAAATGTATTTTTTCTTCTTTATCAAACATGTATTTGTAATAATAGCGTAATTCTCAAATGTTATAATGGTTAAAATGGTTAACATTGAAACTATACTGACCCAAAGTAGAATACTCAGCCAACCTGTTCTGAGCTGAGCTGAAAAGTTCAGGAGATAAAGGATGTGGTTCAGTATCTGTGTAAAGGCTTTGAGATGAGCTTTGAATAATCCCCACAGCGTCTTCTCAGGTTTACATGCATTTCCACAGAGTCTCCATGTGTCCCCTGGTTGGTGTTTCAGTGTTCATTCTGAAGAACTCTGCTGGGTTGACTATTAGTCTTTTGAACACACTCACTTCCCAGGTTATATTAAGATTCTGTTCCACAAGTTTTCATGCAGATTAAATTTTATACACACATGCAGGCATAAAGAATGCGCAGGCTGTCAGGTGGTACTGTATACTGCAGTAAGTGCTAGTGTTTTTATATCATTGAATGATCTGATGCAGGACAGCGCTACTAAAACTGCCAGGTGGTTGCCAGACAAAACACTGCAGTATTAATTTTGTACGCGTTTGTGCTTCATTAATCGTACTGACACTTTGACACCATCGTCATCTCAGAACAGGGACTGACATGTATACAGTACATAGTGTACTAGTGACAATTTCATTTAATAATTTTTCTTTCTGCATTAATGCTGTACTTATACTATTTTGCATTGTAACCACAGAATAAAACTGATGCTTTTATAAATCAGTTATAAGTTCTGATGATGAAGATGATTATTGTTATTAACTTTATTTTATATAGTATCTTTAAAAGTGGCTTTTCATAGTGCTTAACGGTAAAAAAATACACAAGCAGAGGGGACAGCAGAATTAAAACAATTACAACAAGGGTTTGTTATGCAGAAGAAATCTAAAGAGGCAGACACAGCGCTGATTAAATAAAAGCCTTTTTCAAGAAGATGATTTCTGAGTCTTGATTTGAAAGCACTCAGGGAAATTTGACTTTACAATAACCTTGGAGATTTAATTCCAGAGTTCTGGGGTATAGCAGGAGAAGTCCTTGTCACCCACAGAATTTACTGTAGATGGGCTTGTCGGTCAAAAAGGAAACCAAAATTACATCAATGAAGGTTCTGATGTGGGGAGAAAGAAGATAATATGTCAGACAGATACTGAGGTGTTAAGCCACATAGAGCATTAAAGGATGCTCTACATGGGATTTTGCAGTTGACACAAAACGTGATAGATAGGCAGTTCAAACACTCCAGGATAGGAGTAATGTGATCATTTGCACAAGACCTTGTCAGGGTTCAGGCTGATGAATTGTGGACATATTTAGATATTGGGATTTAGATACCCCAGTAAGTACAGCATTACAGTCATTAATAAAATTAGACAAAAGAGCTAATCATCTTTTCAGCTATAGTCCCTAGCAACATGAGATGTAGTCTGGTGACATTTCTGAGGTGGAAGAATTACGTTTTTACAATATTTTGCACATGTGGGTGAACTCTCAAGACTGGATCAAATATCACCCCCAACTTCTTCCATTTAGACTGAAATTCAAGTACAGTGTTGCCCACAGATAGGAATATTGATTTGTCTTTACAAATTTGATGGGAGGTGCCAAGAAGCATGACTTCAGTCTTGTAGCTGTTTAAATGAAGGACATTTTGAGTCACCCAGGTTTGTATGTCAGAGATGCAAGCAGACAGTTCAGAGACAGCTTCAGTGCCATGTTTAGTATTTCAGCATACAAAATGATCATTTAGACTGTGTGATCGTAATAGCTGGCCAGCTGGGAACTAGTATATTTTGAATAGTAGGTGGCCCAGTATGAAGACTGAGGAACATTGTATGTAATTACTGAGTTATTTTATTAATAAAATTAGTTAATTGTAAATTTATTGACATTTATTCAGTAAACTTAAATTATTAGCATCATAATAACCAAACAATTTCTAAATTACATCTAACACTTGAACACTATTGGCATTTATCTGGTAAAAAGTTACCAGATTGTTTACCATAGCTATTGTTTTACTAAAATTATAACTATTGTTGACCAGACATTACCATTGTGTTACTCAGTAAAGTCATGGACTATAAAATAGTGTTACTCCCACCTACATACTATATGAAACATATAATAAAACTTTCAATGCTAGTTTATATTGATATGTAGAAAATATAGATTTTTGCTAAATAGAGATATTTGAGGATATTTCATGAGGATTTTAGTTTTATTTAACTAGGCTCTGGCATTTATCTAAGTTTCCTAATGAGGTATTTAAACATAAGCTCTTCATTATCACTCAAAATAACTAGACACCAATCGTTTAACAGTACTGTATATAAAGATATGAAATACAAACACACATACAGGACATATGGATGGATTATAATAAATGTCACAAAAGAGATGCTGATTGAATGTAACACACATCATTGTATTTCAATACAGAAATGGGTAATCTCAGTTCAACATCAGAATCAGAACCAGAACCAGAATCAGAATCAGGTAAGAATCATCTTTCATACATAATCTACAGGAAAATAAAAATAAAACAAGAACAAGAACAAAACACCACTGTGGTGACAGTGAGACAAATAGGACAGTTCCCCTAAAGGTTAAACATCTTGCATGCAAATATGACATTCAATACTGAAAGTGAAAAATAAACAAAATTTTGTTTTTAGCAATCATGTCCTGATTGGTGCTGTTTCCTATAAATATATTGTAATGTGGGCAATAGTCACGTAGACGAGTGGTAATAGAAGTGCTCTTTTATTGATCAGAAAGACATTTTTTTTTCTTTATTTCTTTATTTCTCAGAACCGATTTCACAGTTAGATACAAATTCTAACAAATGATTAAACTAACATCATTTAGTGTAGAACTCCGGTCATCTTTCTGCTTTGGGCCCAGTGTTGGGCCCAGAATTGTTACTGTGTACATTTATCAGGAATCCTTGATGCGATCTGTGCACTCACTGTTCACAAGTTAATATCAGCTAAATGGTACAGAGTGTTAGTTATGTAAAAATCCACTTGTGTATAATTGACATTTCCCCCAACATACTGTACACCAATAAGTGCATAAAATCTGTTGTGGGTAAGAGAAACTTTCTGATTTTTTAACACTGATCTTTTACCAGGCCTTTAGCTGCTAAAATATATTGCCATGGTGTTGTTACTCAGTGAGGAGAGGTGAGGAATGAGAATGTTCTGATTCCCTGAAACACAAGCTGAACTCCTGGAATTCCATCTCAGCTTGATCCACCAGCTTTCCCTTGAGGAAAGAATTCTAGGTAAAACATACAGGAATATTTCAGAGACACAAAGAATATTTTTATACTCTTTGTCGTGCAATTGGCAATGGTGCTTGTCCCAAGTTTTCAGGACCTAAGGAAGCCAGCCAGTTATTTTCTTCTTCCCTGAAATTCAAGCTGACATTGTGTACATTACCTGAGTTTGATCTTGATTTCCAGACTGTGACTTTAATGGAAGATATCTTACTTGAAAATACCTACAGCTGCACAAAACGATCAGAGTTAATAACTTCAGAGTTAAAATATAATGATTATAATGTGCCCCTTTTGGGGTGGAGGGTGGCTCTGTTGCTAAAGATCTGCGCTTGTGGCCGGAAGGTTGCTGGTTTGAATTCCGCAGCTGGCAGAGGAATCCTACTCCAGTGGCCCCCTGAGCAAGGGCCTTAACCCCCACTTTTCCAGGGCTGCCGTATAAATGGCTGATCCTGCACTTTGACCGCAAACTTCTCTCCCTGTCTGCGTCTCATGGAGAGCAAGCTGAGGTATGCAAAAATACAAATTCCTAATGCAAGAACTTGTATATGGCTAATAAAGCGATCTCATATTAATCAATAGGTGTTCTTATTGGTATCTGGGCAATGTAATGTTGGATGCTCTTCCTAATACTATTGGATAGGGAAGTAGTTTGGTCACATCCACGGTAGCACAATATTTACCTTGAGAGGTATAGAAGTTAATACCAGTGGTGGGATATATTTTGGTTTATGGATATTTGGATATAGATGAATTCCAATTCCATTTTTAAGAACTGTCCCTACAGGTAAAACAGTAGGGGTTAGCCACGTTTTTGGCATCAATGGTTTTCCCTTCTATTATTTATGAGTCACCGATAGCATGGTTGTGGGATGAATGAAGGTGACAGGTGACAATCTTGGAGGAAGAAACAATTTAGTGGGCTGCTTTGGTGGTGTTAGGGGCCCTCTAGTGGTGAACAGGAGAAGATTCCTTCTGTGCCGTACTCCATATAAAAAAGTAGAGGAAGAATTATAAATCTGCATGTGTTCATTAATATTATTATCATATTTAGCTAAATAATTGTTAAATATTTCTGAGATTGTATAAAGTGTTGTCAAGGGCTACAAGATAAACCTTGTGACCCAATCTGACTTTCAATAATCTGGACTACTAAAATACATGGAGAGCAAAGTGGGGAGAGGAACTGCAGTGGTACCAGTTCCTAAGGGGTTCATGTTCATCTGCATTTATATAGCGCATAAATACAGACTGATACATGTACAGGAGCATTTACAAGCCTCTTCATATCACTCTAGTATGGTGTCAAAACATACAGTGCAAACTCTAAATTCATGTTATTGCAACAGTCTCAGACAATCTGATACTTTACCGTCAATTTGTAGTTCACCAGACCCAGGTAAGGAAAAAGGATTGAAGAAACTGTGATGATTTCAAGTTACATGAAGGTTGTCATGATGTCATTTCTGTTTTTTAGAACTTGATAAACCATGGAGGGAAATACTCTGGAGCAAAGAGTAAGTATTTAAAAACACAGCATGAAACCCACATCACATTGTACCTTCCAATGTGGAGCTGTAAGAATGAGATGAGGGCTGTTCAATACAGTCCTGGAGAGATGCTGTGTTTGTATGTCTAAAGAGATGATAGAAGGTGTTCAGTTAAGAACAATAATGAGTATAAAATTGTTAATAGCCGAGCTGGAAAGAAAAACTACATTATTCCTTTACCTGTCTCATACCTCCTGACACCCATAGTGTAAAACCCAGAATCCATAATGCCTGGTAAGAAGTCATGGTTGTCAGTAATTGGAGTAAGAAGCCATGTATATAAATATATTTTTCATAATAAAAATCTCAAATAAAATTGCTTCCTAATTATTTGTTCCTGAATTTAGCATTATAAAGAAATATACATAATTTCAATGTGGATTAAAAAAGGTTCAATGTGTTTACAATATGCTATAATAATAAATTGTTCCTTATATATATCTGGCAGAGTAATGTAGCTCTGTAAAACTATGTGGATGCAAAAACAGAATACAAATGTAAAAATAATATAAAAGTAATGTAAAACATTTGAATCTAAACATAAAAGAAGCATGTTGCACTCACAACAAGATATAATAATAAACTATTTCTTTACTGTACCCAACATGGTAATTTTGGTTTGTAAAATAGAACTTCCTTCTTTTTTTAAAATTAATTTAATGTTTAACATTCTGTAATATACAATAGAAAATTAATAAAAGTCTAAACTCTATACAACTTAAATTCTATCATTGGAAAATGTTTGTCTCAAGGGGCTCAGTATTGAGTGGAATTCAAAACCAGGCTTCCAGACACCATGTTAAGCATTCACTGCACCACCTGGCAGTTTTACAAAACAGTGCTATCCTTCAACACAATATAATTGTAGAATTGTTTAAAAAGCATAATTCTTGGTCTGAAAATGATTGTTTAAGTAGAGTGACCTCTACTTAAAATAGTAATACCACAAGAAATTGTAAATGCAAAATTTCAATATTTACTATTATTTTATGTTAGCCACTTCGTCAGGCTGTTTTTGACAATAAGTATCTGCCCACAGAACAGTGTAGAAACCCAGTTATACACCCTTCTAGGATGTATTATTTTTTCTTTATTGCGTGATCTGTTCTTTCTTATTTACAGGGAGAAAGAAAGACTGATGGAAGAAATAAGGACCTTAACACCAAGATACACAGAAGCAAAAGAATTAAGAATCATGATGACTGGGCAGATCACGGCTGGAAAGTCCAGTTACATCAATACAATTGATTCTGTGTTTCAAGGTCATTTGACAAGCCAGGCTTTGGCTGGTAAAGATGAACACAGTTTTACCAAGAAGGTTAGTAGCCATCTAGAGGGTGTGTTGAATGGAATAATATATTCAAATTCTTTATAAATTATTTGCAATGCTGATAAACATATGGGTAATTTAGTTATGATAGTATATAGCAAACTCTACAGTGACTTGGCACTATTAATGTCTGGATTATTCCTGACTGGTAATGTCATGGATTGTGATGCCTAAATGCAGGAACTACTTTTTTGTGTCGATGTAGCAATTATGAGGATGCTAGGACCCTTTTTTCTTGCAACAGGATCTTTTTTCTCTTTTTTTCAGTCCACTCATGGACAGTTATCCTAATGTGCATAATATCCCAGTTATTTACAGTATTTCAGTCTTCCCTCCACATAAAAAGTATTCCTAAAGCTAAAACAATTTCTATGATCGCCTACTCAACATACAGAACAGATGATACAGCTGGTATCAAGTACAAGAACCCCATTGACCCCAGTTACCAGAACCAAATATCCCAAAAGAACAGTCCAGTATTTTTATTCTCCATAACCAGCTCTGGCTGGTGGCGTGGTGTGCCTCCTTACACCACAGCAAAGAAAAGGTGTAGTTTCAGGCACCCTCCTCTGTCCCAGGCATCCTAAACAATGTGTCTCTATGTTCCTTTCTTTTCCCTGTTTGTCTCCAACTTGTTTTAGAGGAAGATGCTGGAGCTTTTCTCTTCTGCTCTCAGTACCTGATATCCAAGTACTCTCTTGGGTCCAATAGCTACAATATCTGTTTTCTAACTTCTGTCTGCCTTTTCAAAATTCTACCCTGTTCTCTTGACTTTGGGTTTTTAATCCCCCCTTAACAAGGACTCAAGATTTGTTCTCAAGGGAAGTGGAATTTTTCCTTTGATGTTCTGGGTGTGGTAGAGCTCACTGCTCAGGTCTCATTGTGGAACCAGCTGTATACAGATGCACTGTGTATTCATACCCTGTTCTTGAGCCCCCCTCCCATACACAGGCACAGTCAAACCTGTCTTGCAGCCACACCATTAACCTATGGGAGGAAGCTCAGAGAACATGGAAAGAAATGCATCAATACTTAGGCTGACAGTGTCCATTCAATGCAACTTAAAATCCATACAGTCCCAGACATCTGGTCCATACATCTCCCAATTTGTGATAAGCAGAAATTTTACCACCTTTTAGCCTCATCACCAGATTTCAAAAGTGATGCAGAGTTGGACTTGGTCAATGGTAGGATGCAAACCTCTTTGAAGTACTATGTATTTTGACAAGACTACAACTAAATAGAGTTTCAGATTTCAAGATTTTTTATTTGCCATATAGAAGTGTATTGTGATGCTTACTCATTCAGCTGTACCTAGTAACAGTGAAAGAAAAATGTAAAAATAGATACAAATGACGAACAGACAATGGACATTACAATAAATTTAGACATTAGATGTTATAATACAGCCAAGACAGGACATAGTGCAGACAGTCCAGTACCTTGAAGTGCAGGTACTAATTTGTGCAGTAGTCTAAACTTAGCAGTTTATGATATGTTATTTTTAAATCAGTTCAGTTCCTGAAGAGAGAATATGAAAAGAGCAAATGTAGAAATCTGTTTAAGGTTTCCAATAAGTCTCCATAATGGCTAAATTGAAGCCAAAACAAAGGCATCTGTCCATGAAGACCTGAAGTGAGATGATCTAATCTTTTAGTACAATGGTATTAACTATACGGACCTTTAAAAGTGCAACACACTGATGCCCATTTATCTGTGCAATGGGAATAATAATATAATTTAGCTTTTCTGACTTTTCTGTTTAGTTTAACCCATTCAGAGTAGAGGACCGTGCAAATGGAGAAGGTGATGGAGTTCTCCCTTTTGTTATCTATGATGTCATGGGAATAGATAAAATTGTGCAAAGTCCTGATGACTTCATCAGTGTGGTAAAAGGCCATATAAAAGATGGATACAAGGTAAGTTGTACTGACAATGCATCACCATTCCATCCCATAACTGCTTTCGGATAATATTCAGTTTAAACACTAGCCTCTTTAGACAGACGGCTTGGAGAGGAATCAGAAGTGAGGCACATTAGCAAGTATCAAGTCTAGAATGGTAAAAAGCAGGTAATTCAAGTGGAGCTCTGGATGATCACTGGCACAAAACTCTGTCTCTGTAATATTGTCAAACAGTCCGATTCTACTGTATGTTTGTACGACTGCTGTAAGCATAACATGCAGTGCTTTTGGGGTGTGTGCTACAACGGCACAATCATTAACATAGTGGAGCTCAAGTACATATTCTGATTTTAGCTGATTGGCAGTTTGGAATCTCCTGATATTAAAGATGTTCACGTCCAACCAAAAGTTAAAAAATACCCCACTCTCTACAACAATACCTGCCGGAGTTGTGTGACTCACAGGCAGAAGATGTTAAATAGGACTGGTGCAAGCACACCATCTTCAGGACGCTCTTCAGTGATGGTGGCAATAAGTCAATGAAGCATGACCACTGCCAGACCTTTGCCAGCAGCTGAAAGCAGAGATATTCTCCTGTTGTTGCCCCAAATTGATCTGTCACCCTTGTTCTGAGAAAAGCTGATGTTTTCATCCCTCCATTGATGTGGAATGCATTCTTGTCTCCACAATGAAGTGATGAAGGGTTCTGATGGAAGCATAACCTCCAATTTTCAAAATTAAAATGGGATGAAGTCAGATCCAGGAGTTTTTTTTAAATTTTTGTAAGACTTGATGGCAGAGTAGGGCTCGGAGAAGGTGGGTGGGAGATCAAGACCCTGGATGGTGGGCAGGACTTGAAGATCTTTTAAAAGTGAGACGTTGACTAGGTTTTGATTGTTTAAGACTGCTTGGAAATGTTTGCTCTACTTCTGTACTATTTTTCTTTCAACCTTTATTAAAATAGATCAATCTGTGCTCCTAATAGGAGAGAGATGGCCATGGATGGTCTCGAATGTGTTATAGAAGTCAGCATGTCATATTTGTCCACGTGCTTCTGTATTTCATGTGCCTTGGATATCCAATACTCATTTTGAAATTGTTGCAGAAAGTTCTGTACATTTCTCCTCCATTCTTCTTACTGTTTTCTGAGAACCTCAGAAGTGGGGTTGTAATCCTTGTGCATGGCACCTAGTAGGTTGAAGATGTTCTTTGAGTTATCATCAACTCAGTCTTGATGTTTCTTTCTACTATAGCCGATGGATTAGAGTGCTTTCTCATGGAACGATATACAGAAGTCTATTTGTCCTCAATAGAGCCCTCTTCAGTTGAGGTTTTCAAGAATGCTGCATGTTGGTTCGCACCTCCACTTCTCGTATGCCACAAAAACACAATCACTGCAAAATGTAGTTGTTGTTTTTTTCTTGGAAGAGCTCTTCCTAGGTGAACAGATGTCCCAACCTTCATTCTGAGCTTAGCTATGATCATTCTATGATCTATCTAGCACTCTGCCCTTCTCATGGCTTGTGTGAAGAGAACATGTTTCATATCAGGGAGCCTAACAATGATGTAATCTATAAAATAGCATGGGTGCATCCATTTGTATTTATTTTTCATTTGAAAGATGGTGCTTTGTGTTAGTTCTGGATCCCGAGATGAAGTTAAACAGATGAGTTTTATTGCATGCAAGGAACAATAAAACCCAAGTATTGTAAAAAAGTGCCTGTACAAAACATC